CTTGGCATTTCGTGGCCGCTCCTTTGCAAGGACAGCCGCCGGCTAATAAACTGTCTCCTGGTTAAGAGCACTCAAGTTGGGTCTGGTTATTCTGGACACAACAAGAGGAGGAGGCCTTGTTTTAACTCTTTCTTTATTTCCTAGTAACACCTAGTAAAGCTTATATTAAGCGCTCATTAAACGTTTGCTTAATTAATGAAAAATTATTCTTCTCTTCTCCCATCAGTCCCATCAGACTAAATTGATTCCCTCAACATTTGACACTCTAGAGTCCAACTAGTAAACTGTTTTTGTGTTTTTGGCTATAAATCTTCACAAGAGTGACAGCAGTAAAATTAGGCAGCATCATCTGGGAAGAGCTAGCCAGTAACATCCTTCACGTGTCACTCAGTTTGCCTCGCCACTTTGATGCTTCAACCTGCCAACAGCCTTCAGAGGAAAGGAGGGAACAGAACTTATTTTCCAAATACAGTGTCATTGAAAACAAATTAAAACAGTAATACTAATTACCTTAATTATGACTAAAGTTGGAATTAAAATCTTTGTTAACTGGTACTCTTCCTATGTCATACTCTTTCTAGGTCATTCTCATTTACATACTGAAAAGAAATGTGGTCAGAAAAACAACTGTGACCACAGCAGACCAAATATAAGTAAAGTTTGTCCTAAGCACGCCTCCGAAACTCCCTGTTCTGTATCCCACCCTCAATTCCATTGCTTTCTCGACCACAAATTGGCCAACTCTCTAATATTATTTCTGACTTCAAAAAAATCTTCAAAAAAACATAGAACTTGATCATTTTTCCCCTGTGAGCAAAAGTCTTTTTAAGAAGATGCAGAAAAATAATAATAGTTAACATAAATACACTGGTGATGAGAGAAATTCAGGTTTTACCCTAGTCCAGATGAAAAAAATAAAATTCATTTTTTTAAATTTTAGGCTAAGCAACTTCTGACAGTGAGTTTTAATGAGGCTGGCTCTAACTGTAATAATTGTCTCTAGCGGAAAACAAAACATCACATATTGTTGCACAAAGCACTTCATGTAGTTTCATTTTTAAAGAGAGAGGTCATCTCACCCAGCTGTTCAGTGATGTAGTATTCTGGAATGAAAGTAGCTCAAGGTCAGCAATGAATCTTTCCCGAAACTGTGATGATACTTTCACTTTAGAGGGCTGGATTTGCCAGGAAAGGTACAGCCCAGTCCACTGGTAAAAGGAAACGCCACATGCTTAGGCTTTTATTTTGTAAGATCTTCAAATGGCCCCAACAGCTAGCCGATCCACCTTCTGCTCCAGGCTCTCATATTTTGGTTGTTTCTGCCACCCTATCCTGACCCTTGGTTGAACTCTGTGCCCCTTAATTTTAGCTAAAGTATGGACACAAACTCATTTTTTATTTCCCCCTTAACATGGCTAAAACAGATTGGAACTTTCACAAAAGGTTTTTTAATCTAAATAGCAATTTAAATAAACAACAACAACAAAAAACAAATAAAAAAGAATGAATGGAAGGAAGGAAGAGAACATAAAATATATAAATACACACAAAAAAACTCTCTGGCATATAAAATACAATTTTCTAATTTTATATGAGCTGATGTGTACCCAGGGCTGATAGAACTTGTCCTATCTTATGCCCTATCTGATATGGTTTTACTTAACCCTAAATGGCTGACCCAAATTTACAGTTTTCTACCTATAAGGGAGGAAAAAGTTTTTCTGACTCTCTTAGAATCCCTGGCTGGATCTAAAAATTAAACTAACAAAGACAGACTAACAGGAGAAAAGCATGTAAATTTTATTAAATTTTTATATGTACATGGGAGTCTTCACAAGAGCCTACAAACCCAAAGAAGTGACCAGAGCGGAAAGCTTTTATACCTTTTAAATAAAGAAATGATAAATTTGTGAAGAATTGACAAGGCAGAGGGGTTTGGGCTTGGGGTAGTAAAATAGTGAAATAATATACAGCCTAATTTCCTGTCTCTGGTGATAAGGATGGTACGGGGAGGGTACCTTCCATGTGGGAGATTTATCTCCTGCTTTCAAGGAAAAAAAGTGAGAGCAGGGGTCAGAGTCACCTTCGTGCTTCTACCATTTCCTCAAACTCCATTAACTTAGGATATTCAATATCCCAAGGTGCCATCTTTCGGGGTAGCACGTCCTAAATCCCACCATACCTGTGTTCTGACTTCCAAAGTTTTGGCTCAGCTTCCTATGGAGGAAATCATCTGAAGATCCTAAATCTCCTTCTAGATATCTTGACTACATTGTAGTCAAGATCAAGAGGGATTTCCACTCAATGACCAGGGCTTCCCCCTTCCCCTCCCCACTAGTACCAACAAGGTCTTCTTCTATTTTCTGACCAAAGAACACATATTTTATCCAAGTGATTGATGTCATGAATGACTCCACTCTTTATGTGAGATTCTCCCACTTTCATATACCAGAAGATGCCTTTGTACTTTAGAGGTTCAGTAATATAAAATACATAAATGATTAATTAACATAATATTCCACATTCATATGATGAGAACAAGTGAGGAGATGGGGGTGGCTCTAGAAAGTTAAAATAAACTATCCTCCACCCCCAAATTAACACTGGAAATCACCAAGTTTTTCCTTTCCTAGTAGCTCATCGTGTCATTAGACTCGTGTCTAATGGTAGACTTGTGTCATCAGAGTGGTTACTGAAGCAAAGAAATTTGATGATTTTTCTACCACTTTTTATATGAAATGACTACTACTGATTTATTTGTATAAGATTTCCATCACTCAAATCGTTCTTTTCTCTGTTTTTGTAAGATCAGTTTGCTCAAACTTAAGGAGAACACTTACTTAATGAGGTTGGATGAGACTTTGCAAGGAAAAGACATGTGGAATCAAGAGAAATTGGACTTGGAATAGGCAAGTTCCAGTTTCCAAAACAGAGGATTTAATATTTGGTCATTATTAAGCATGTGTATTTGTCATTCTATGTTCAGTCATTCTAAGTGCATGACAAATGTCAATAAGCTAAATAATAGGAAAAGGAACCTGCTGAATTATGGCAAGATCTTTCTCTTATTTAAAAATACTGATGAATGAGCTGGAATAACAGGCTCCACTTCTCACATCTGATCTCTGAAACCTGAGAAAAGCCGGATGTGGGCTTCTGACCTATTGATCCCATGGAGTTCATAACATGAATTCAGACAAAAACAAAGTGTTTCTATTTATTGAAAAGGAAACAGCTCTAGAAATCATTTGTTGCTCAGATTTTGGATACCTAATCAAATTGAGGAGTGTTTGTTTGGAAGTAACTATGCCTACATAAATAGATCTATCAACTTAAGATCTTCCTGCCATCCACCTCAAACTCCCTTAACCAATAGGATTGCTTTGGCTTATTTTTCCCAGCCCTAGTGCCAAATTTTGGTCCCAGCCTCCTAGTCAAGCCTTCAGTTTCCTTCATCTCTATTTACTCCTACTATCTAAAAACAAACAAACAACAAAAATAAAAATTGCCCCTGTTTTTCCTTCAAAATAGATTAAGCGACTCCAACCCTGATCTCCACCATCAGACTTTGCTACATGGCCCATATCCACAGCTGGCCTTGTTGAACAAGTTCACTTGTATTCCCTTATCTTAACAGAAACCCTTCTGACACTTCTGCCCAACTGCCTTTTCTTGAGAAATCCCCACCTTTCACTCACACTTGTTTTATGATGGAAGAAATATTTCTAACCTGTTGTGTCTGCCAGCCTGTCAAATTTTATTAAGTCTTTTCAACCTTTGATCCTTACATTATCTTACCTCCAGAAGGTAAGTGCACTGTATGTATGGCTTTTATTGATGATGTTTGCTCTCCCCTTTGTCTTCTCCATCCAGATTCCTGCTATTAGCACTCATTTCATGGATTAACCCTTTTAAAACATCATCTATAGGTCAGGTTTATTTGTATCCACTGTATTGGCCTCTTTGACACCTTTATGTCCCAATTCCTGATTTCCCTCAGCTCTACACTTCTCACCAGCATGTCCACACTCTGACCCTAATTATCTCGAAACTCCTGAACTCCACCTCCATATTCTTCTATTGAACCATTCCCTTGATTCTTTCTATCTCTACCCACACATGTTCCATTTATCCATAACCACTAAACCAGCTCTTAACTGTCACCAGAATTATTAGGGTCTCAATCTTTTTTTTTTCACTTAATATATTACGTTACACAATTCTCAATTTAACTCTAAACCTAGGTATTTCAAGGGTCTCCTATAATTCACGCATTCATTTGTTCTTCCAAAAGATATATTTTGAAAACTGACTATATGCTAAATGCTTGGATATGACTAATAGACATAATCTATGCCTTCATGGTGTTTTCAATTTAACAGAAGAGACATATTAAACAAGTAAATGTACAAATAAATACAGGATTTCAAAATAAAGAATTACTAATCAAGATCTATGGAGGGCACAAAGAGAATAGTGGCGGGGGGATACTTTCAATTGGGAAGGTCATGGAAATGCTTTCTGAGGGAGTTGCATTAAAGCTAAGGTATAAGGGAGGAGGAGGAATAGCATGCATTTGGGCCTGAGATAGGAAAGTGTTGGGCATATTTGAGGAAAGGCCACTGTGGCAGGAGCAAGCAAAAAAAGAGTCTCCAAATGAAGTTGGAGAGTTAGAAAGGTTCTGATCATGTATAATCTTGTAGACCATATTATGGTGTTTGGTGTTTGTCCTAGGTGTGATGGAAAGTCATGAGGGGTTTTAAGCAGTAGATTGTGAGCTGGTCCATGAGATCAAAGGCAACAACCTGCAACCCTCTGTCTGTCACCAAATTGTCCACTATATTTGTGTCTGTTTTAATTAGTTTGTTCTTTTTGTTCCTTAGATTCTACATATAAGTGAAATCATATGTTTTTTATCTTTCTTGTATATTGTAAATTGTGCTGCCATGAATATTGGGGTGCATAGATCTTTACAAATTATTGTTTGACTTCGAGCATCTTTTCATATGTCTATTAGCTATCTGTATTTCCTCTTTGGAGAAGTATCTGTTCAGGTCTTCTGCCCATTTTTCAATTAGATGGGTT